AGTTAGAGAACTGTTGGAAAATCTGTAGGGAGTACTGGACAGTCGTTGCGTTCTAGTTTAGGACTCTTCATCAATACGCGCCCACCACAAGAGGTTCGAACCCAGGACCTTTTGGTTACAAAGCTAGCGAGCTCGTAGACCATTGAATGGTTCTTTAACCGATGTCAGCTGATGATGAAATCCTCCATGCAATCAAACAAAAATCCCCACCAAACCAACACTTGAAAGAGTGTCTATTATGTGCAGCTGAGGTATAAACAGCGTCAGTTTTTTTATTTATTATTCGACGATGTGGCAATGGGGTCACCACTACGACCCATTCTAGCCGACATTTTCCTTGAGAAACTAGAAAATAGGCCTTTGAAGGATGTTATTAATGAACTTGAATTATATTGTTGGTACATGGATTACACATTTTTGATAATGAAAAATGAAAAGGAAGCGAAAACCATCCTGGATAAATTGAACCAGGTTCATCCTGAAATAAATTTTACTATTGAGAAAGAAAAAGACTAGAGCACTTCATTTCTAGACGTCCTTATAACCAGAAAAGAGGATGGCACAATAATAAGAAGAAGTGTATATAGAAAACCTACATCGACAGGTCAGTATACTCATTTCTTCAGCTTCATGCCCTTGAAATACAAACGCAATCTGATAGTGTTTGGTTCACATAGCAAGAGCGATCTCCTCGGTTGAATATCTTGATAAGGAGCGTAATAATATTAAATGGTTGATGAGTGAAAACGGTTATCCAGAAATGTTTATTGATAAGAATATGAATCTAAAATCAAAGCAGCCCAAGGTATAAACAGTTCCTGAAAAGGCATTATTCTTACAAATGCAGTTCCTTTGGGGACAACATCAGCGAGATACTAAGACAACGCCTTAGAAATGCAATAAAAAGAGCATTCCCTGCTACTGAATCACGGTGTGTATTCATAACCATTCACTCCTCTTTTGCGTTCGGGAGTAAAAGACAAACTGCCTAATTTCTCTTCTTCCTGTGAAGTGAGCCAGTTACATAGGCCGTGTTTCTCGTTGAATTTTCGAACATCATCCTGCATAGTGGTTAAGTAAAGGACAAAGAAAATCTATTCTTAGCGCTATTCTATCTCATCTTGTGGATACACAACACAAGATTGATGTCTATGAGGCAGCTTTCAAAGTCATACACCGCAAAGAGAACAAATCTCAATTTCGCCTTAAGAGTTCGATTACTACTAAATATTGCTGAGGCTGTCGGGATCCACATAAAGAAGCCTAATTTGCGCCTTCGAAATAAGTTAGTTCAGATATTATCATAACCTTGGCCATCTAGGTTTGAAGTATCCTCATATTTTGTGGAATTTTCCTAATTTCAGTTGATATTCTATTTGCTATTATTATATCTTTATTGTTATTATTATAATTTAAGCATCTTTAATGAAGTTTAATTCCATTGTGATCTTACTCTACAAATCGATATTATTTAAAAAAAGACTAATATTATTATTAACTAGTATTCTATATATATATATATATATATATATATATATATATATATATATATATATACATATAATCGTAGAGCTGGCATAGGAGGAAATTATCGAAAAGGATATTCTTTCCTCGATTATTTTGTGTTTTCAAGTATTTTTTTCAAGTATTGCTTTTGAAGGGATTTAGTTTGATTGGAGATAAGATTTCATCATGAGCTGACATCGGTTAGAGAACCACTGGATAATCCTACAGCGAGTACTGGACATCTTGTTTCGTCAGCCAAGTTTGAGACTCTTCATGCTGTCTGACTGTCTGTCTGGATTCAACATAGAACTTGTCACCATAGTGCAGCAGTTCGAGTTGCCACGTTCCAAATAGCACACAGAGGTAGACAAGAAGATGAGTGAAGAGAATTAATAGAGTTTGACAAATATAAGAGCGAAACAGAATGGGTAGTGGTGGTAGAAAGGAATATGAAAGATTACGGAGACTGAATACATCTGCGCTGGCCATTGACAACGATTTTGAGCCATGTCACCTATTGTCTCCAGCCATTGATTCCTAGAGTCCCAAGGGCCCCAACCCGGGAGTCTGCATCTCCCTACCCACTTGACTCAGTTTAACTGTCAAGGATTCCATGGATTGATGCCATGTTTTTGTTTGGCCACCACTGGCTCTTTTCCAACCTGCACCTATATCAGCTAGCAATGCCCGTCGGGGGAGGCGATGGTTAGGCATGCGCATCACGTGACCTAGCCATCTCAGTCTACGTAACTTTATAGCCCCGTCGATTGATTTTCCCTGTTTGCCCAACACTCTACGCCTAACGTCAACATTACTTACCTTATTAAACCACCTAACGTGAGACAGAGATCGCAGACATCTATGATCGAAAGCAGTCAACCTTTTCATGTCTTCAACTCGTATTGGCCATGTTTCAGAACCATAGAGAAGGACGGAGCGAACTGTTGAGCAGACTCTTCATTAGTACGCACCCAACATAGGGGGTTCGAATTCAGGCAGTTCTGGTTACAAGGCTACAAGCTGGTATACCATTAAGCCACTGGGAACCTTTTCCAATGGTCCATGAATTTTAACTTCTGCCAATTCACGACATAGAGCGACCATATAACTGTAGAGCCTGATGATGAAGGAGTTATCGAAAAGAGTACTCTTTGTTTAGTTTCCATTCTTTTGAAAAATCGATATTATTTAGACGAAAAATACTAATATTGTTAATGGCAATTATTCTCGAATATGAACAAAGCAAGAACTACAGTTTTAGCAGAATAAAATGGTACCATCTTTTATTTCGTTGCCTTCTCGTCAGCTGCTTACATGGCAAAGACATTATTAAATATATCGAATATTTTGTGTCTATAAATGCATAACTGTATAGTAGGAAGAGGAAACTATCAAATTCGCTTTTGTCTTCTAAATGTCCTAATGAATATTTTCGCTATATATTTCAATTTTTGTCTGCATTTTTAAAAAGTGTTTTGATTGACAACAAACAAGACATATCTATCTATTCCTTTTATCCTGATATTCACGGGGATTTCATACAGATATTGCACATTTATGCACTGAAACTGGTTATCTAATCTGGATTGAACCGAAAAAGACTATGCATGTGTTATTTATTCACTTATGGCGATACAAATTGTGATTTTCTGTGAATCATCGGCAGTACGCACCCACTGGGTTTCGAACCCAGGACCTTCCGGTTACAAGGCAAGCTCGTATACCATTCAGCCACTGGGACCCGATTCAATGGCTCGTGAATTCTAACTTCTACCAATTCGTGATTTAGCGCGACGCAACGCTAAATCACGAATTGGTAGAAGTTAGAATTCACGAGCCATTGAATCGGGTCCCAGTGGCTGAATGGTATATGAGCTTGCCTTGTAACCGGAAGGTCCTGGGTTCGAAACCCAGTGAGTGCGTACTGCCGATGATTCCCAAACTAGGATGAAACAGCAGCTGTCCAGTACTCCCTGGTTTTCAATGGTTCTCTAACTGATATCAATCCGTGATCAACTCGTAAAACATAACTAATCCTTACAAACCAAACTATAGAAAGTTAATCTGATGCTCGCTAGTGACTTGCTACAGGTTGGAGTTTCCTGAGTTCTAGTGAGAAGTCGTGACCAGTGAGGTCCAATTAGATGTCACGTGTGTGGATGGATGTCCCACCAACGACAATGGTTGGGGTCGCGCTAAATCACGAATTGGTAGAAGTTAGAATTCACGAGCCATTGAATCGGGTCCCAGTGGCTGAATGGTATACGAGCTTGCCTTGTAACCGGAAGGTCCGGGTTCGAATCCCAGTGGGTGTGTACTGCCGATGATTCCCAAACTAGGATGAAACAGCAGCTGTCCAGTACTCCAGTGCTTGTTTTCAATGGTTCTCTAACTGATATCAATCCGTGATCAACTCGTAAAACATAACTAATCCTTACAAACTAAAACTATAGAAAGATTTTCTGTGAGTTAATTAATTGAATTACAAAATAAACTTTTTGCAATCTCTACTTCAAAAGATCATTTTTTAAAAAAATAGTTTTTACAGTTTTTATCGTGAAATTCATGATTCGTATTTTCGCCTTTAGTCATACTACTGAGTGTTTCCATCACTGTGAATATATTTCAAATTATAATTCTTTCTCTGAATAAGGCACATTAAGAAGACAAATTTCGCGATATAATATCTCGTCATTTCGTAGTTTCTTTATAACACCGCTCTACAACTAACATGGTTAACAATAATAAAATAAAGATCAAGACAATCGCTCATTTAAATAAAAAACACAAAAGTACATACTAATGACCAATGCGTCAAGAACAGATTACCGCTTATGTCCACATCTATGTGCATTTACTCTTCTACCTACTCCTGTGAAGCTGATTATATTGGAAATTGTAAGCGTACTCTCTGAAAACGTGTAGCTGAACACTATCCGGTTTGGTTAATGAAAGACGAATGTAGAACTGCGAAGTTGTCTATTTGTGATCACCTGTTAGAGTCTGGTCATCCAGCAGCACGGAATTCATCCTTCAAGGTTATCTAGATGGCAAAATCGAATCTCACCAAACGTTTACGTTTTCTTCACTTATGCATAGCCGAATATTTAGCTATACATGAACAGAAACCTAAATTATGTGTTCAAAAACGTGCGTCGGTGGGACAGTGGTTAGGACTCTCGCCGACCATGCACATGGTCCAAGGTTCCATCCCCTGCCGATGAAGCACACCTGATATCTATGGTCGGCCTGCAAAATTTGGGCTACCGATATCCACGCTGAAAATTCCACACGTGTACCAAAAATACAGTGTGGAATCAAGCTGTAAACAAAAATAAAAAATAAAATAAAAATTTCGCAATGTCTTCTTCGAATTTTTTTGACAAATAGAGTCGACTCTGTCTCTCTCTCTCTCTCTCTTTGATCAGGATAAAATTTAAAGGTCGGATCCGTAATATAAAAAGAAAAACATTAAGTATTAAAAATACACTCACCGAATAGAAAGTATATCCCGCATAACAGTGCTCCTGGTAAGCTTAACATAGCTAAAGATACTTGACTAGAGGTATCATTTACACGATAGGCAGGAGGAGGCAGAAGCAGAGGAGGATTTCCACTAAACTGACCTTCTTTAATCATTTCATTTATATGCAAACCATAAGAGAAGCATACACCGTCCACAGTAAAAATGCATAAAAAGCTTCCAAGGGCAACAAGCCAACCCCAACCACCATTTGGTATTGGTTCTCGTAAAAAATCTACAAAACAACAATAATAATAATAAGTGCAAATGAATTAGTCTCCCAATACTTATTTAATATCATTTTGTTTCAAATAAACTTTTTCCTAGTATATACGGAGGTCAACCTTGTAGAAATCATTCACGCAATGGAAGTGAGCTCTACTCTTGTGAGTGAGTGAGTGAGTCAGTGAGTGACTGACTGGTTCCAACATAGAACTTTGTACCGCTGTGCACTACTTCGAGTCGACACACTCCCTCCGTGTAGCACACAAAGCAAGAGAAGAAAGTACAAGAAAAGCATAATGGAGACAGCATACAGAGACATGAAGCAAAAAGAATAGTAATATCGAATAACTATATGGTTTTATTGGATATTATAAGTCACAAGGAGTGAGTCTGTCTGTATGTCTGTCTGTTTTCGACATAAACTTGCACATATGTGCGACAGTTCAAGTCGCTACACTCCCTCCATGTAGCACACAAAGCAAGAGAAATTACAAGAAAAGCATAATAGGGAAAGTAAGCAGAGGTGTGAGACAAAGGAGGAGTAATAACGAAGAACAAAACAGTTTCATTGGTGAGATCATAAATCACAAGGAGTGAATGCATCTGCGCCACTGAGAACGATTTTGAGCCATGTCACAATTGTTTCCAACCATTGGTTTTTACCGTCCCGAGGACCCCAACCTGGAAGTCTACACCTTCCTACGTGGCTTAGACTAACTGTTGTAGATTTCATTGACTGGTGAGGCCAAGTTTTTGTTTGACCTCGGCTAGCTTTTTTCCAGCCTGACCCTATATCAGCTAACATTGCTAGTCGAGGAAGGCGATGACTAGGCACACATAACACATATCCCAACCATCTCAGTCTTTGTAACTTCACAACTTCGTCGATTGATTTCCCCTGTTTACCACGAAACTCGACGATGGCTAACATCGATATTGCTCACCTTATTATGCCACTTCACACGGGAGATAGAACACAAGGAGTGAGTACATTTGCACCAGCCATTGACAATGAGGCTGGCTTAAACTAACTGCTAAGGATTTCATTGACTGATGAAGCCATGTTATGGTGTAACCCCCAGATAGTTCTTTCCTAACCTGATCAATCGTATTTCAGCTAACATTCACCGTCAAAGAAGGTGATCGATGGCTAGGCATGTAGGTGTAACACATGTCCTAACCATCTTAGTCTATGTAACTTTACAGTCTCGCCTATTGATTTCCCCTCCTTAACTACCACTTGATAGAAACTTGACCTCAATAGGAAATACGTCCAACTCTTGTCCCTGTCATGGATATCATAAACAGTCAATTCTTATAATAGTGACTATCCCATTGCCTTACTTATCCAAACTTCCTGTTTATTCATGTTATTTTTAAGTGTTTCTTAATCCCAATTTACACTACCATATTTTCATATCCGAACTTCCTATCTTACTTACTTTACTTTACTTCGGCTATCTCCTACGGGAGGATGAGCCGGCTTCATGAACGTCTCGAATCATCGCTGCCCAGGCGCGGCGATCTGAAGCAAGGTTTTGCGATAGGGATATCCAATTCTTGTTCCACATACGGAGTCCGTAGACGGTTTGTAGCCCCAGGCACTCCATATCTGCCTTGACTGTACCAAGCCATGTCTTCAGCTGTCCGCCCCTGCGACATCGCCAAGATGGTAATGGCGAGGGATTTAGAACTGATTTGACCAGATCGTCATCTGGTCGGCGCAGAACATGGCCAAACCACCGAAGGCAGCGTTGTTGGACCAGTACTGGAATTTGGTTGATGTTGTAGCAACGACGACGCACTTCTTCGTTGGAGAGTTTGTCCTGCCAACGAACATGCAGAATGTACCTGAGACACCAATGGTCTAATACCTCGAGTCTGCGTAAATCTTCCACGCGAAGAGGCCAGGTTTCACAGCCATACAGGAGAACGGGTCGTATGGAAGCATGGTAGACCCGAATTTTAGTCCTGAGACTGATTTCTCTCTTGCTCCATAGAACGCTCCTCATCTGTAGAAACGCATTCCGGGCGTTGGAGATTCGCGCATTCACTTCGTTTTTCGCTTGGCCGTTGGGGAGCATTATGAATCCCAGATATCTGAAGGATGGCACAATTTCAATAGGTGCTCCATTTAGGGATAAGATTTCATCATTGCTGGTGGATGTGTTCGAAAACATTTTGGTTTTGGAAGTGTTAATTTTCAAACCGATAGTAGGCGCGAGGTGATTTATCTGGTCGAGCTCCTGTTGCATATCGGGGAAGTTTTCAGCTAACAGCACGACGTTGTCGTGACTTCCTATCTATTTTATTATTTTTTTATTTCTACATTCCTAACCCTTTTATTTATTTATTTAAACGCATAAAAACTTGGTACAGTATGGCATCAAGAAGGATGCGCCACACAATAATAATAAAACAACATAGATCAAAAGAAAGAAGAGAAAGAAGAGGAATATATATATATAAGCAGAGAACGGATAAAGAACTTCATCTGGAAGGAAAACAGTCATGCTTAACAAGTTCAAACAGTATTCGTTAACTGTCATTGGGAAGGGAAGAAAGAAGGAAATTGCAACACGTGTAATAGCACGTGATAAGTTTCCTTGATTGTTTGTTGCTTTATTCAATTCATTGTGTGACGGCTGAGCTACTGCCCGGGCGCCCAGACCGAAGCAGGTGGTTTTATTAAGGGACCACCTTCCCCGAGCCTTTGACTTGGAGTCTAATCCGCGGATTGGCAGCGGAGCAGCGTCAGGAGCTGAATTCCCATGGTTTCCGCTGACCCATATGGGTTCATACGCCATTTGATCCGATTGGATGCTGGAGCCCATGTACCCAATGGTAACTGCCTTTCGTCTAACCGCTACCCAAACGACCTTCCTGACATGGTAGGACCTGCAAGCATAGAGTTCCAGCCAGTTTAGCATGTTGTGTCAATACGATATTCAAGCCCGACAACCACGACAAGGTAGCAGTTATCGGCTGGGATCCTAACCCTTAATTGCACAAAATATGTCAATCTTATCAATAATTATGATGCTACTTTATGTTGAGTTTTATCCAACCCCCACCCCATTTATTATGGCTTTTTAGTTCTTAATTGTAATTTTATTAATTTGCCCCGTGACCGGAAATTATTCTGGAACTCTCCCACTCATTTATGATAAATACACGAATGTACAGCTATCTCTAGTTGATGACTTCGTCGGGCAATAAAAATTTTCTCCACTGCAACTGTGATTTTTTATTATTCCCTATGATAAGATGTGTATATTCTGTGATTTTAAACATACATTTTCTTTTCTACCATATCTTTTTACTTAACCTGATATTGAAAAGTTGAAATAGGATTTAAGAAATATGTTATGCTGACTGGTAAGATTAACACAAAAAAACCCAATCAATTTAGGTATTTTGGTGATTGATTAATTGATTGATTGATTGACTGACTGACTGACCGATTGTCTGACTGTCAGACTGATTGACTGGTTCGAATCTCAGAAGCAGGGACATGAGTTCCTTCAAGGTGACCACAGATACGCCTTGCTGACTGGTGAGTGCCAACTAGCACGAAACCTAGGTCCAAGGCTTCCTTTGGTCGATTGCCCCCAACCATCTAATACCATCAAGACTGATTGACCTATCCACGTAGAATATTGCATTGAGGTGAATTAGTTCAAGTTCCTATAGTTCTGAAATCAAAGCAAAAACCTTTGTATGCAAAAGAAGTACGTACAGTCACTATCATTTATTGACTTGCTTTTCACTTTATTTATTTGTTAATTTACTTACCTTTCCGTCATTACTGCGATTATCATTAGTAGTAGTAATAGTATTGCGTCGGTGGCACAGCGGTTAGGACGCTCGCCGATCATGCACATGGGCCGGGGTTCGATCCCCGGCCACAGACGCACTCCTTTACCTCGCTAAACCAGAAAAAGTGCTGGTGAAGAGTAAAGGTTGGGCATGAGGCTAGCAACCCCATCCTGTAAAAATAAACACTGCTACAGAAACTTCAAGCCACTAGCTTGAAGCCCTATGTTCCACTGGGGAACGTGAATGAAAAATTTTAAAAAAATTAAAAAATTAGTAATAGTAGTAGTATTACTGTTGCTACTATTCTGACTTTCAACTGTTCCGGTATTATTTCACTTGTTACTTGGTGTTACAGGACTGACTGGAGTACATCGACTCCCTCCTGGGTGAAAAATAGGCAGAAGTGAAAGGGCGGCTGAGCGTGTTGACTACTTCACGTATTTGGTAAGTTGCATCAACCAGCCCTAATGGGTTGATCGCTGATGAAATCTCAGCACGGATACAGAAGGTTCGTTTGGTTTACGCCAATTTACGCCATCTCCGGCTTAGTAGACGTGATATCCAGCTGGCTTGCTATCGACCAAAGGACGTGTGTACTGCACATCAGTAGTTCGCTCTGTCATCCTTTACAACTTTGAGTACAACATGGTCATTGAAAGTGGAAGACAAGAAAAGGCTAGCTGGCTGTTTTTGACGATAAGGTGTCTGCGTTCTATCTACCACAGTAAGTCGTAGGCTTAATGAGGTGAGGACTGCTGAGGCTAAGCTTCGGTCGAGTATTAGGTAAGGAGGGAAAGTCAATTAATGAGGTTGTGAAGCTAAATCCATTGAGGTGGTTATGACATACGTTACGTATGCTTAGTCATCGATTGCCTTCGTTGACGGGCAATATCAGCTGACTGATATAGGAATGACCAGGTTGGAAAAGAGCTAACTAGTGGTGGTCAAACCAAAACACGGCTTTTACAGTCAATGAAATCCAGTCACTTAAGGAGGTGTTAATTGCATTTTTGGTTGGAGATCTCGGGATGGTAAAATCCAGTGGCTGGGGATAAACTGTGTTATGGCTCAAAATCATTCTCAATCGCTGATGCACATGCAGTCACACTTTTTGATTTATAATATCGAATACAACTCTGCTGTTCTTCCATATTACTATTCTTTTTACCTCACCCACATTTCTGCTTATTATCTCTCTCCCTTTTGAATCTCTCTTTACTATTTTCGTTTGCTTTGTGTGCTGCATAGAGGGAGTAATGGCAACTCGAAATGCTGCATATCTGTGCAAAGTAGGGTTCAACGTTGAAACCAGTCAATCAGTCACTTGTCCCTCTTGTCATTCGTACACGGAGTTTGTGGCATTCAAAAGTACAATCAGGCAAGTTCATCGTTGAATTTCTGAACACCACAGGAGTAACACAAGACTGTCTACTATCACAGACGAAAAAGCAGTGAAGACAGGACTTCAAGTGAAGTTGAAGAAGACGAAGGTGATACCCAACCAACAAGAATTACAAGCATCAGTCATAATAAACTAACTAAAGGGGTTATAAAGAAGTCAATTCCTTCAGTCTTTTATCAACAGCTGGTCCTTTCTCCAGCTATATATATTGAAGATCAAATGGCCGGTTAGAAAGAATTAGCAACAAGTAACTCTAGGATAAAACGGAGATGGACCGGGCGTAAGTTGAGGAGACCATCGAAAGATATCGCAGGTCAGGCCATCACTCAAGTAGAAGACGACGAGTGAGACGTTCTAGAATGACATGAAGGAGATCGTGAGAGGAGAAGATGAAAGCCGGTGAGCAACCGTAGATTGGGATGAAGAGGACAGCATCAAGTAGAACAAATTGAAGGCGTGTTGTTTAAGCCCATTCGGAACGCAAGGGAACAATAATAATAATAATAATAATCTTAGGCCAGAAATGAACTCCTATAGAACTCAACTAGTCACTGGACGGTAGTCTCAACTGCCTTATCGTAAATCACCTGGTCGAAATCTATAAATAATCCCCACTCCTAAATTTTCTTTTGAATGTATGTTTAAATATACAGTTGAAGGTGAGAAATGGCCAGGAAAGTTATTTATGTTTATGGAAGTGTGTAAGCAGTTATTACCTTCCAGTTGCTCATACCACTGAAGTTGATTTATTTTTTGAGTGTCTGAAACAGAAGAGACATTTGTGCTGCTGTGAACAACTCCTCCGGGCCGGTGACACATAGTCCGTATTAAGACCTTACCGCCAACTGCGGAACACCACGAGATAAGTTCAGATGTAAAATATTCGGGATCAAGCTTTTATCAACCTACAATCCCCAGAGCGGTGAAACAGAATGCTGGCCATTTGAGGGTGACACCTTAGTACTATCATATCCCTATTCGCCGGTAGTAAGAATTCGTCGACAGAGCCACAACATAGTGTTAACCAATTAAATTATCTCAATGGTCGGAATTCCGTCGCAAACCAACATTAGTTAACATAACAATTTCGCTTTATTCCAGAAACAGTACTTGTGGTACAGTGTGGAATTTTCAGCACATATCTACAATATTGCATCTAATTTCATCGTACATTTAAAAGGAGTATTATAAAAAAATTAAAAAAATATATAAAAAAAAAATATATATATAATAAAAAAAAAGAAAAAAAGAAATAACCAAAAAAAATGCAAATAAAAATACTGAGTAAAAAAAGAAGATCAACACAAATAATGAAAAAAATATTTCAGTATTAGTTAGTGGAAGCTACGATATGTGTATGCGTGGTGAACAGTAACAGCTATAATCATACGGGAAATTATGAGATGTTCTTAAAAAGTGTTTATAGCCAAGATGATCAGTTAATTTGATTGAACAACACTAAGCAATCATAAGATAAACATTTCAGGTTTTTTTTTGTCAGTACTAATGCGGTTGTTTGTAGTGGCAGTGTGAGGAATCATGCATAATACAAAATTTTTAAGATGGTGATAGTGGCAATAACAAACAAGATTGTCAATTAAATAGTGCCGAACAAAGAACAACCACAAAACTAATGTTACATGATGGTTAATGACGGGACAATTTTTAATAATCATAGTGATAATATAGTCGGACCCAGTAGATGTACAAAGAAGGAATAGAATAAAGAATAAAAATGTAAGCCAATGATAGTAATTTTAAGCAGCTAAGTATGTTTAAGAAGGTTGTTCACTATAGAGTACAAGTAAGAGAGTGTAAGGGGGAAAAAAACAAGGGCCAAAATTATGTTATTAACAACAAAGCAAGTCATAGGTTTCACGCCTAACATTGTCTCTGTCACTTAGAACACGGGCCAAATATGGTATCGTTGAGTTCCTATACTTGGTTGTGCGAGCATATATTATTTTATACTGATTTCTGGTCCTACCTGATGAGATGCAGGGAGAGAGTTGGGAATAGAGGGGGTGTTGGGGGTCAGAGAGTATGGTTTTAGACCATTTCTCACATGTATTCAGATGCTTATCCACTAATGTTGTGACGAGCTGACTGAGTTTTACACCGCTAGTCCTGCTAACTACCTTCAACATCCTTAACGTGAGATCATTCTACTTTTAGGGCTTTTCAATAGTACTCACCAACAATCCCTCCAGATATCAAACCTACAACCTTCACATTTCAAGACCAGACCCCTTGATCATTCATTCAGTCATGTGGGCTGGAGTTCATTGACCCGTACATTCTAACTGCATCAATTTTGTAAAATGTGTCGCTACGTTAACCAATCCCTCCAACGAATATCCACTTCACCTTAATACGGTGGACGCCCCACCACAGCTTCAGGACATCCATTAGCTAGCAATGAGCTGGTGATCGATAATAAGATTAAGGAGTTTGTGGGGATTTAGGTTCCGCTATGATAGTAACTGCAAACTGCTATCCAAACGACCATTCTAGCACAGTAAAACCTACAGACGTCAATACTGTGGTTAGGCATCGAGTGCTAGGTAAGGAGGGGAAATTAATAGACGAAGCTGTGAAGCAAAATCGGCTGAGATGGTTAGGACATGTGTTACACATGCATGCCTAGTCATCGCCTTCCTCGACGGGCAATGTTAGCTGACATAGGGTCAGGCTGGAAAAGAACTAGCTAATGGTGGTCAAAAAAAACATGGCTTCATCAGTCAGTGAAATCCACAACAGTTAGTTTAAGTCAGTCACGTAGGAAGGTGTGGACTTCCTGACTGGCTGGTTAGGGTCTTCGAGAAGGTAAACACCAATGATGGCTGGAGACAACTGGCAATATGGCTCAAAATCGTCCTCGATGGCTGTCGCAGATGCATCCAATAAAACTAAATGGTTCTTCGATATTACTATTGTTTTTGCCTCATATCTCTGTTTACTGTCTCTAATTTGCATTTCTTTTTTGCTTTCTTCTCTTGCTTTTTGTGCTGAGTGAAGTGAGGCGACTCGAACTGCTGCATATCGGTGCAAAGTTATATGATGAAACCAGTCAGTCAGTCAAAACCTCGAGGAACATTACTTCCAGCCAATGTAGGATCACTGGTTCATTGCGAGATGCTAGCCCAACACCACCACCACCCCATTAAGGTAGCAGCTATCGGTCAGAACGTTCAAAGATGATAAAAGAAGAAATATTTACAAGTATATGCATAAAAACAAAGTAAAGACAAACCTTCAGTGATACTAAATGGTTCTTTATCAACAATATGGCATTGAATATTTCCATCATCATTTGGTAGAGGGATGATATTTTCATCAACAGGTATACCGCTTTCATCATTTCCAGACAATGGATTCATTTGACCAGGTAAATATAATTGATTTGATGCAGACAAAGGAATATTTTTATCACATGATGCTATTGCTGATGATGAGTGTTTCATTGTTGTTTTTGTTGTTGTCAGCGGTGGTGGTCGTGATGGTGACGGTGGTGTTGTTGGCGGTGTTTTTGTTGTTATTGTCAATGAATGTAAATCTGTAACAATTGGTTGTGAATGTAATCTTGACGGTTTTTCTTTACAATAATGAATATGAATAGGCTTCACTGGTTCATCGGATACTGTACTAACATGCTTTATTTCTTTATTATTATTATCAGTAATATTTGTTGGTAGATTTGTAGAATTGTAAACATTCTCTGTAATTATATGATTATCATCTGTACCAATATAGAATTGATGAAGTATTGGTAAGTTGGCGCTGAACTTTCTCTTTGCATGCATAACATGATATTACTATTATTATTATTACTATTAGTGTTATTATTATTGCAGTTGTCAAATGGAGTAACAGCTTTCTCTCAGGGGTGTGCTCTAAATGATTTCATCTTTGAATGTACAGCACTTTTATTCTGAAAGAAGTGAACAAAACAGAAAATAAAAATAATTCGGTTGTTTTGTTTTTATTTACAAAATAAAATAACATTTAGATACTTTGACTGAACACACTAGTAGTTAGTACCCTCTAGTGATGTATTGTGTCTAGCCTTTTGTTTGTTCGGTGCAGACTGAATTCACTATCAGCCAGTCAGTCAGTCAGTCAAGTTTACAATGTAGCCACCACCACTAACAAGCTAGGTGGTTGAATCGCCATCAAGATGCACTGTGAATTGTCGGTAATCGGCCACAGGAAGCCCTGCCGCTTGACAAACACTAGGTTTCGTGCTAGTTGCTACTCACCAGTTAGTCAGCATGGCTTTTCTGCAATCACCTGGAGGAACTCGTGTCTCTGCTGCTGAGATTCGAACCCGTACTACCCAGTACCGACTGCAGTCAAAGACGTTACCACTACGGAGCTATTCGGACTGGTGATGGACCGTCTGTGGGACTGTATGGGATACTTTTGATTGGACACTAGTCAGTAACTAGTACAATGTGTCTAGTCTTTTGTTTAGTGCAGATTGAATTCACTATGCTCTGGAAGGCTTCGTGTGCTTTTGGAAGTATACACGATGCCAATGAAATCCACAACAGTTAGTTTAAGCCGGCCAGCCACGTAGGAAGGTGTAGACTTCCTGGTTGATGTCCTCGGGACAGTAAAAACCAATGGCTGGAGATAATTGGTGGAATGGCTCAAAATCGTTGTCAATAACTGGGGCAGATGCATCCACTCCTTGTAACTTATAATTTCCAATGAGACTATATTGTTCTTCGTTATCCCTATTCCTTTGTCTTACACTATGTTTACTGTCTCTATTATGCATTTCTTCTACTTTTTTCTCTTACTTTGTGTGCTACATAGGAGTGTGGCGACTGGAACTGCTGCACAACGGTGCAAAGTTCTATATCGACAGGCAGACAGACAGACAGAATTCACTATGAGTCAGTCAAGTTTGCAATGTGATCACCATGCCCACTGTGTGTGTGTGTGATTCACCATCATGATGTATTTTAAATAGTTGATATATTAGACGGTTGGAGGTAATCAGCCACAAGAAGCTTAGTGTGATTTAGGGTTTCGTGCTAGTTGCCACTGTGCGTCGGTGGCACAGTGGTTAGGACTCTCGCCGACCATGCATATGGTCCGGGGTTCGAGCCCACGCCGACGAACACCTGATATCTATGGTCGGCCTGCGAAATTTGGGCTACCGATATCCACGCTGAAAATTCCATACTTGTACCAAAAATACGGTGTGGAATCAAGCTGTAATCAAAAATATAAAAAAATAAAAAAATAAAAATAAATCCATCAATCAGCAAGGCGTATATCTGTACTAGGTACGTACGAATCTCTGAAGAAGGGCATGAGTTCCTCCAAGGTGACTGCAGATACGCGCCTTGCTGACTGGTGAGTGGCAACTAGGTTAAACAAGGCTTCCTGAAGATACAGTTTATTGAATATTTATGCATATGTATATTTAATCCCAAGGGTGAAATTTACCCATATTTCCTATCATCTATCACCTATGTAATAGATAAAAAAAGAAGCGATAATCGATTCTATCCACATGCCATTCACATAAATACCTTTTTTTTTCTTGACTAAACCATCTGATACTGTTTCTATTGTTCTCTTTGTAACACACTGTATACACTGTGGACTCGCGATAAGTGCATACAATAATAACATCATATGACATGAAATATCAAAAAAAGAAGAAGAAAAACACAATTTACGAATAAAAAGATAATTCATGGCCATATTTTCATTATAACACTGTGGAATACAATATGTACAAGGAAAACAAGAAAACACAAATCCCTGGTCGATTATTTACACTTATTTATTTATTTAGTTAGTTACTCATTAATGTATTCAGACAATCACCGATAACTAAACACGAAAACGTGCAACTGAGAGAAAACAAAAAAAAGAAAGCATAAACAAAGACAAGACTGATTATCTCGAACAAACTACTTCTTAAGAGAGATAGTCAAAAGTGCTCAGGAGAAACGAGACAGCTCTGTCTCTATCTCTCTCTCACACACACACAAACACACAAAAACAGAGATACATATGCAAAATAAAGGAATTAATTAGAGCAATGTAAAAAATCAACTGATATTTAAGAAGTATATTAAATAAACACGCCTTGTGTAATTCTAAGCATCATGAGAAATTGTCAGAAATGTCTTCTTATTAAAACTGTTTCCCTCAAACGTATGTAACTATCAATTAGGAGAATTAATAATGTATACAAAAAGAGATCAGCTCAGTATGCCAGTAGTAAATATGTTTTTATTCATAAAACTAAAGGAAGTGGATGGAGAGGAGAAATGGAAACACCATTCATGAAATTTTAAACTTTAATAAACTGTCCTTTCCAAAAAGTATCTGAGTTATCGATTAGTATTGTTCTCTTTTGGGTTCAAAGTGGAACACAGGATTCCATTACATACTTTTCTCTTCAGTCCTTCTTAACTTGCTTCCCGATTGCCCATACAATTTCGGGAGCTAGTCGAGGGATCGGTTCATGATATCCCTCAACGGTCTCCTAAAGTATATTGCTAGGACAGAAATACTTCATTGGCTCATTGAGCTGAATGTTCAATTTCCAACTAATGAGATACTTATCAGAACACCATCCAAATCATCAAGGTCTATACTGTCTGAGGTCACGACAAACCACACAATGAAACTGGCATGTAGCGGAGGTTCAATGGTAGAATGGACGTCAACCACCCACTTGATCCAGGTTTGATTCTCAGCCAACTTACTCCTAAACCTCCATTAGACAGTAATAAACCCGGTAAACGAAGAGATAGGAACTGAGGCTGGCAGTCCCACCCCATAAAAATAGCAAAACCACTACTGAAAATTTTGAGCTCGACCTTTAAGTCACATGTCCCACCGAGAATGCAAAGGAATGAAAATAATTGGTTACAGGATTTCATCATGAGCTGACATCAGTTAGAGAACTATTGGAAAACCTGGGATTGCTGGACAGCCGTTTAGTCAGCCTAGTTTGGGACTCTTCATCAGTACGCACTCACCGGCGTTCGAACCCAGGACCTTCTGATTACAAGGCGAGCTCTCAGACCATAAGGCGGCTACTGGGACCCAATCCAATGGTTCTCTAACCAATATCAGCTCATGATGAAATCCTGTAACCAATCAATCAAACCCCTACAAACCAATACTTGAATGAAAATAATCTCCGAGAACGAGTGAAAGTGATCCAGTTAATTAAAAATGTTGTCTATTAAACATTAATCAGCACCCATAACGTAGTATAAAGTTTCAGTTGGAATGTCATGGCAAAGTTAACGACATATAAAGAAACTAGGCAGTCAGTTTAAATCTCCCCGGTTGGGAGTAGTGCTAATAGCTAACGGTATGCCATCTACTTAAGGTGTTTTTAAAGGTGTTTTAGTATGTTGATAACCTTGGGGGACACTTCCTTCTTATAAGAGATTGAACAAAAAGATTCGACGATTTTTAGACTACAACAGGTATGAGGAAGTTAAAACAAACAACTAAGGATGAACATGTGATAACTCTAGGCACGATCTGAATGAAGCCAAGCCGACTATTCTTGTATCTCCTTACGTACCTCCTACAGAGCCACGATATAATTCGCTGTTGGATAAGATCTACAAAACCAAACTAAAACGATGGTGGATATTGCAGATAATGGTTGTATTATGTCTCAGTATAATAGGTCCAAGATACAGCAAAAAAGAGGACATTCAGTCATCGCTCCACTATAAACCTCTGATAAACCCCTGTAATTACGTTGGAAATCTATTCTTTTCAAGCCGGAGCAACTCAGAATCTATTCCCCTGCTGTATCCATTTGTTTTGGACTTAAATGTTTCTCGCTGTTTTTAACTAATTCTTGCCAAAGTAGGATTATCTCTTTGACTATACCTAGAAATACAAGATGCACCGGATTTAATGGAAATTTTGTACTCACATTTACAGAGAGATCCTCAAAACCTCATTTTAGAGTAAAGCTGTAAGTACTTCTGTAGTCTACAGTGACAGCAGACTTCCAGACTTCATGGACAACTCCCACAAGTCCTCAAGACGCTTCGAATCTTCTGTGTGAGTTGAGGTTATTTTTGACATGGGACTTTCAGACTTCGTTTCCACCAGTTACAGATACATTTGTAACAGCGATCGTTTAGAGTAGCTTCCGCATATTTCATCACGTTCTAGAGAACTTTTGTCTCATAAAGCCTATTCAGTCGCAATAAGTAATTGGCGCGCTGAGACCATATATATATATATATATATATATATATATATATATATATAAATGTTCGGTACTCTAAAAAGCGTCTCATCTGAGAAAGTTACCATCTGGAAAAACTGAAAATAATGTGTGCAAGGCATATATACCTTCTAGATGACGCAGATGAAGCCAGTCTATAAAATAAATTAACACTAACATCTATTCCATTGTTTGTTAGCTTTCATGATGGGGAAATATAATGTAAAGTGATATATTCGGCTGTTTGAGAACGTGTTGAAAGCATTATAGTTACAATTTATACAAAAATACATACCAAGGGCAGACGAAATACATTATTCAATCAGCAACTGTGAGAAATAAATGATTTATTGACTGTGTATAACAAGTGAAGCTAAACAGAAAGACTCGACTCAGTTGCTAATGAGGCTTGTTAGATAAACATACTAGCAAATAGACAGATATATATCCAGCTTATAATTATGACTAAATCTACCTATTTGGAACCATTATTTTTCGTATGACTACTATCATACCGAATATCAAGTGACTTGGATTTAAATCGACGTAATCAATAAATGCCTTACA